TTTTTTTTTTATTTCAGAAATAAGAAATTTGTAAGAGAAAAAGATGCTTTAAAAAAATACAGAAAATATTCGAAGAGTATTATAGTGTAATTCTTACTACGAGGAAATAATATATTTTCGATACTGATGAGGATTCTTTAGGAGAAAAAACGAGAAAAATTAAGATATTACGTGAAATAATCATAGCGCGCCAATAGAAAATTTGCAGAAGATTTGATTAAAAATGGGAAAAATTTATGTAAATAGCGATTCGATTTGTCTATTTATTGAATCGATTATATCTATGTGTAAATATTCTCTTCGATATTTCACTGGAAACTTCTAGATGAGAAAATTTACATAAGAGTGGTGAATTCTATATTCTGCATAGATAAGAATGAAAAAATAAGAAATTACGATATTATATATTATCGCAAAAAAAAAAAAAAAAATATCAATTCGACGATAAATTTTATTTCAGCCTGAATAAACATGTGTAACGTAATTTTAGATTCGACGTATAAAAACAGGTTAAACCAGATTGTCAACCACAGTTTCCTATTTTTCGAAACGAAAACATTATAAAACAGCTTATAAATTACAACATGAAAATCACTTTTTTTATTCTATATCTTGTATATCTGATGGAATGTATATAATTGAACCGACATTTATTTCTGGAATAAAATTAAAAAAAGGATGGGAAAAAAAAAGACATTGAATATTTATAAACATTAGGTGTGAGTAAACACCGCAAGCAGAATTCTTAATAAATCGAATCTCGTATGAAATTGACAATCAGCCTGACGATACAGCTACTCCAAATTATCGATTATTTCGCAATCGTATTCAATTGTGCAGAGAAACGTACGTACCGCGTTCCTAAGGACTCTTATCAACGACATTCTTTGCTTTTTCAAGTATTGAATTCCCAATTCGAGAAAAAGGAGGGGAAAAAAGGAGGAGGGAGGAGGAGAGGGGGATGAATAGATCTTGACACGATTCTTGGCTAGAAGGAAGGATGTGATAAGATTTCAAGATCTCTTTTTCTAGCATCGTAGAAATTTTTTTTCTAAGATTGATGAGACGTAATGATGAGGAGAAAAAACAGGAAAAGAGAAAAGAAAAAAAAACGATATCGTTCGCATGAAAATATGTAATCGATCGAAGGTCGCGAAGTGAACGCACTGAGATATTGAAAAGGTGAAAGGGGATGGAGTGGGGAAATTACATGTATCTCTGGAATCCGAATCTTGGAAGGAAATAGATCTTGCTCGGGCTTTGATCTCGTTCCATATACCAGGCCCATCATGCTGGTGACCTGGTTCAGATACGGATAATCCCATATGGATCCGGGTGATGGCACGATCACCATCTGTCAATGACATTACGGAATCGTTAAATTAATCGAATTTCGAAAACGTTTCCGCACCGAATGATAAAATATTTAAGTATTATTATATTAACTATTTAAGTTAAATTAAGATGCATCAAATCAGATTTATCATGAATTTTATTAATTAAAGGCTAATCGGTATAATTATAATTGGCGATTAGAAGTGCAAAATTGTATTATATTCCATTGATTAATGGACCAAATTTATGAACATTCTCCACGATTTTGTAAAATAATATAATTTTTTATTATGAATTTTATTCTTTAAATACTTTTGTGCAAAAAACTTTCGATAACTTTCACTTAATTCTACCAATCTATCAAACCATGAACCAAATAAACGAAACAAAAATGAATGGAGTGGAATCTAAAAATAGTATTTTCGAAATAAACGTGAAAAGGTTGTATATAAATTGATCAGGTTAATGACTCGTCTGACCTTACCGTGAGAATAGTTTGCGTATAAATAATTTATTACATTTATTTATGACTTTGAGGAAAATTATTTTTAATTATTTTTTTCGTAGAAAGATTAAATCTAAATTTTATGATGAATATGTAATACATGTTCGTTA